GGGGGGGGGGGGGGGGTCCTTATCTGGTCACAGTGCTTGATGCCACTGTACCTATTTCTCCTTTGGCTGTGGACAGAATAGAGCCTCACTCAGTAACCAAAGTTTTCTTGGAGGGGCTGCTCTGGAAGGAATACTGATCTCACAGAAGGTATTTCAAGAGGTCAATATTCTTACTGGTATCTTCTGTTGCCTCCCCCCATGGCAAACTCTACTCTTACCTCCACATATTCTGGCGATCACCAGTACAGCCTCAATAGTAGCACTCTTTCTATCATCAGAGTATCAGAAGTGCTCTTCAGCAAGCGTGGATGTAAGGGCAGGACTGCTGTGATAGGAAGTGCAAGGATCTATGCATGGTGAGGTTGGGGAGAATGGCAGGCAACAGAGAAGAGGAACAATTCCCTTTCTCGTGCCTTGCTCACCCAAAAGAAGCAGCATGATCTCTCCTCTCCAACACTTCTCCCCATCTCTGTGCCTCCTTGCCTGCCAGCCAACCACCTGCCCTTTCCCCATCAAATATGTGTTGTCATTCATTCTCCCTTGCCCCCAGCTGCAGTTTCACCCCACACCCTTCCTTTTCCCCTGTGGATTCCATGGTGCTGCTACCCACTTGTCAGCTTAGCCTAGTTCATGGCCCCCAAAGCAGCAGATATTGGAGAAAAATGAGGCAGCAATGCCTGTTCTGATGTATGAAGATTTTCCTCTGCCCTCCACTCTGTGGTGCTTACTTGCCAGGGCCACTGGCAGAAAAGGGAGCACAGCAGCAACTGTGCCCCCCCCCAAACTGTGATGGCATAAGAACCAAAGGAGGAGCAAGACAATTTATCATACAGTAAATGGCAGATTATTCTAACTGGTTATAATGTAGAATATTAAAGTCTCTAGCTATCCCCAACGTCCATCTTGGAGTTACAGTTCCCATGATTCTAGGTCAAGTCTGCTCTAGAACCTTTGGAAAAATATCGAAAAATATCTTCAGAATAATTGGCATAACAAATTTAAAAAGCGGGGTGGGGGATGAAGAACAGGGAGAAGTAAAATACTGTAAGCAATAAATCAATCTTTGTTAAAAGGTGGGATTCATAAGATTTCAAAATATAATTATTTTTCTTTTTTCTCTTTTCCTTCTCCCCCTCCTCCTCCTCATCAATGGCTGGAGAAATATACCAAGTGGCTAACCACAAAATTAGATTTAATGCTCAGTGATATTCAAGGCCTTTATAAATGGTTTGAATGCAATAATAGAAGGAAAACTCTTCAGATTTGCAGATTGGGGGGAGTTTATATTCCTTAGAAGGCAGCAAAAGAATTCAAGACAAGTTTGGACCAAAAGTGACACATGCCCATCATAAGAGTAATATATATATATATATAAGTTTAGTAGTGTCAAGTGGCACCTGATTCACCAGCAGTACATACGTAGAAGGTAAAGGGGTTTTGTAGACCACAAGCTAGACATAAGTGAATAGTGTGATCCTAGTGCAAAAAAGCTTATCACAATTCTAAATAGTATCACCAGAAGCATGATGTCCTGTTGTGAGAAGGAATTGTATTATTCCATCCTACTTCAGTCAGATTCACCTACAATATTGGTCCAGTGTTTTGCATTGTAGTTTAAGACTAACAGAGTGAAAAGCAGTCAGAGAACAGTAACAAAAAGGATGAACAGCCTGGAAACCATATCTAATGAAGACAGGTTGAAAGAGTTAGGTATTTTTATATTTTATTTTTAGCCTGAAGTCTAAGAGGCAATGCAATCATTATCTTCAAATATTTGGAGGATTGCCACGTAGATAATGGAGCAATGTTGTTTGAGTGGCTTCAGAGGCTAGGAACTGAACCAACAGATTTAACTTATAAACTAAGGTTTGATAAAACTTCAGAAGGAACTTCCAAATACTACCAGGTATTGGACATTAGAACAAGACTGTTTCACAAGGTGATATATTGATTTTAATTAGAATCTTTTAAGCAGTGGATGGGTGATGACCCAAGGGGGGCTCTAGGGTAAAATGTTTTGCATGCACAATATTGGACACAGCAAACTTTTGAAGCGGGGATTTGGCTGATGTGACCTATAGGTCAACCACTCCTAACTAGATGAACTTAGAGGTTTTCATGTTTCCTTTTCCTAAGTGTCTTTCTTTCTATCCCCTTCTCTGGCATTCCGATTCTTCTGCTTGATTTTCCTATCCATTATGTTGCATAAAAACATAAGAATAGTTTGCTGATTCAAGCTAAGAATCATGTGGTCCAGCATTTTGCTTCTCATGGCCAACCAGATACCCTCTGTGGTTAGGGTTAGGGTTGTTTGCAAGTGGGCAATGGAAACATACTCCTCTCTAGTATCAATTAGCATTTGGGGGTATGTGGACCCAACCTGGAGATAACATAGCCCTTGACTGACCAGCCCTCCATGAATGAATCCGTCTTCTTTTAAAACCTTCCAAGTTAATGGCTACTACCATGTCATGTGGTAATGAATTCCACAAGCTAAGCATGAGCTGTGTGAAGAAGGGCTTCTTTTGGTCTGTTCTAAAGCTCCTTCTAATCAGCTTCAATGAATGGCCTGTGGTCCTAGTGTTTTGAGAAACAGCTTAACTTTGTCAATTATTTTTATGTACCTTTTTATGTA